AGAGCCTTTCTACCCTCCAGCACGTCGACACCCCCCAGCAGCTCCCAGCTTGGTGTCATCTGCAAACTTGCTGAGGGTGCACTCAATCCCCTCACCAAGATCACTGATGAAGATCTGAAGCTAAAAGGAGAAAGTCATGCTAACGTACGTATTTCCATCTTTCAAATCTCTTAAGTTTTTATTTAAAAGTTACTTTTCATGTCAGAAACATTTAATATAGTTTTGCAATGGGATATAATCTCTATTTTATAGGAGTCTTGCTTTACCTTCTCCACACTTTTTTTCACTTTCTTCATTTTCAATTTCAACAGTTTGCCATTTGCTGATTTTAACAGATTGCTGGGTCACCACTTCCCTCAAATCTTCTCTTCTATCCCCAGCGTTGCACGCTGTGCTCTCTTCATATCTTCCACAGTCCTTTGACACAGTTTCTTCAGTTTGCCTCGTGGGAGCTTCACAGCTTCTCTCAGCTGTAGATGAAAAAATAAGTAAAGCAATTATTTATGCTACCTGTACAAGCAGGAACCTAATCAATACACATCTGGAGACAGGAGTATGTAGCTGAAATACAGAGAATTTGCATTTCATTATCTAATTATGAACTAGAGCTACCTTTAATATTAGGAGAATAAAGTTTTCCATACATACAATTTCATGCACCAAGCTCAATGTCACAATATATGCAATAAATAATGCAGTTTGCAACTCTATATTGTATACAGCTATTGTATGCTTCAAACACACAGGGCAGTTTTCCAGGCATTTATCCATACCTGTGAAATTAAATAAAATTTAAAAAATAAAAAGAACTTTGCTCTTTCTTTTGCAACTGAAATGGCAAATATGGGGATTTATAGGAACGTTTTATTAAGTTTCCAGATAGATTAAATCTGGAATTGAATAAAAGACATATACTTTAACCTGTTGGAGCAGGAAATGCCATATTTTGCAGGTAATGTCTCTCATGACAAATAGACAATACCCAAGTTAACAAAACATCTATATCACATTGTTTAGTTTTGACAGTAGAGAAAAAGTTTGCTATTTTAATTGGGTTCAGAATAACCATAAACCTCAAGAAGAAGGAAAGCTGAGAACAAAGAAAGAAAACTGAGCACATATTCTTCCTCACTAAATTTATATCCTGTTAAAATTTATCTGAGTCCTCCATTTGTTTCCAATTAGAATCATGTAAGAGCTCCCTGGGGAATGCAAAATGAAGAAGGATCACTTAATGGGTGACACTATTATACATAAATCCTGGCAAAATGTGAAGAATCATATATTTAAAAATACTGTATTTTCTGAAACTAATCACAACCGACACAAAAAATGCATTTTTATCGCAGCAGTACACGTTACTTACCATTACTGCTTTGAGGACAACTGCATATTTCACAGTAAGGGAGCAATTCATTATTACTATAAGTGCAAGCAGAACATTGCCAAACTTTATTTAAAGCCATGCTTTTGCTTGAAGTATTTAAGTCACAAGGAGAGACTTCATTGGTTTTTCCTGAAAATAAAGAGTGCTTTTGTTCAGTCAAGGATTTTTGATTTTTCTTACTGGAGTTGACTGGAGTAGATCCAGTCATGCTTCTTGCTCTTTTAGCTGCATGTTCACAGGCACTTTCATGAGAAATTGTATCCACATCGCCTGTTCTTGTGGGATCCAGATTTTCATGGCTCTTCTCTATACCCTTTTCTTTTTTGACTTCAGAAGATTCTGAATCATCACACAATGATTCACTATCAGAAAAAATCTTGCGTTTCTTCTCAGTGGAGGATTTTGGGGAAAAGAAAGAACGTATGTCATGCTGTCTTTCCTTTTCAAACTAGGAAAGAGGAAAGAAATATGTAAACTTCACTTATAATTACAGCATCAGAAGCTGTTAAAATTATGATCTTTCTCTGCATTAATATTACCGTCTAATAAGCTATTTTTACTTTGTAAATGGAAACAAAAAGTATCTTCCTTTAAGAACGGCTACCAGAAAGAGCAATTCAACATTCTTCTTCTGTTTTGTAAGAAGTATTTTCAATATTCTCATGAAAATTCTGAAATAGCACTATCAGAAAACAAATACACAGAACGTGCATGCTATGTGCCCTTTTTACGATGCTTTTAAAAAGAAAGGCTTTTAAACACTGGTTTTAAAATAACAGCCAGTTAAATTCAGGACAGCTAATAAAGCTGTAATTTAAACAGAAATTACTTGACCCACTCTGAGAGTGAGTCAGTCACCTAAACATAACATGTGGACCTATCAGAAGCCTGTAAATGACATTTATACCAAGCAGAGCACTTTCCCCAACTTCACCTAATTTTAAAATGGAATTTACATTACTTTTCCCCACTTAGAGTTTCTCCATTAGTACAGTCTGCAGCATAGAAAAAACTTATGTGAACAATGGGGTTTTTTGTTGTTGTTGTTTTTTTTTTAATTAAAATGCCAGAAAACACAAGTTTCAAGTCTTACATGTGTAAATAAAAGTTCATTTTTGTTATCTTCTAGATTTTCATTTGGGGCCCAGGTCTCAGCAAAACTCAAAAAATCCCATTTCTCCTTATCACCTTCTTCAGCCTGCATCTTCTCTTTCCTGCCATTTAAGGTGCTGCCTGTAACTTTGGCCTGCAGAAAGACAACTTGCATAAAATTTCCAAGGAATTCACATGTTGGAATAAATTTATTTACTAAATTTTATTACTAGTTCATAATAACTTAAGTGATTACAACTATTCCTCTTCCAGTGGCCATTTCCCCCAAAATAACAGTAAGTAACATATTTAACACACTATAACTTGTACAAAGGTATACAAAACATCAGTATTGAAGTTAAAAGAGAATACATACATTGTGCATATCTCATACAGTCTTTATAAATTTTGCTTGCCATGTGGAAACAACGGCAGGATTAATTGAAAGAAGCAGTTTAGTGCCAGAACTCTTGTACGGTAAATTGTTGGTGAATTACTGAGACTCATCTATGCTACGTTTAAGAAGACTCCGGACAGACAAATTTTTTTCAGAGGTATCAACAGGAATGAAAATACAGAGTTTCATTCCCTGAGTGAGTGTCAAATACAGTTTGCAGTACCTAGATTCTTTAAGTTGTGATTACTTTTCAGCAGAAGAGGATTATTTTGGCAAAAAGATGGCTATCAATTTCTCTACAAACTGTATGGGCACAAACAATTGCACCACTACAACACAGGGGTTGCCAAATGCAGGAACAACCGTTGAGTTGGCATTTGCATCAGAACCACTAGAGCAAACAATTCTGACAACTAGAGTTTAAAAGGCAGTTCTGGAAACGTCAGAAAACAAGAGCTGACAGAATACAAACATACCTTGGTTATCAAAACAATACCCTACTGGATGGTATCAAAGGCTATAAAAAGGTTACAAAACCAAAACAGCCTGGGAACAGTCCCTGTGAACCCTTGATTATCTTCCAGGTAAGGAAAGAAAGCACGATGGAATTAATCCTTGTAACACGGAGCGGGTAATACTTTAGGAAAATGGCACTGGCGTGTAAGATTACTGTTAATGTTGGATCTGATAAAGAATTACTTGGGAATGCTTCTACCTCTCAGAAGTGAAGTTTAGTAAGGCACTACATTGATACAATTAAAAAAACCCACAAAAACAGAACAAAGCCAACAAGCTCCCGCTATTATTATTATTATGCAAAAAAACCCTTAAACTTGTAAACTGAACAACCAGAGCAATAAAAAGGTAGAAGGAAGACAAAAGAACAATCTCCTGTAGATGTGAACCATCCCATTCATCTCAGCCAAGAGCTACCTTATTTATCCTTGAATCTGAAATGGAGAGCAAAATTTTACGAAAGACTAATTTGGAACAGAAATTTGAATGATTGGCAGTTCTAGGTCTATCAATTTGCCTTACAGTAGGAGTCTACTCCAGATAAGCAAGAATGTTATTTGGCGCATGCACTTAAGAGTTATCTTAATGGTAGCGAGTTCTTGACTATTTGGTTCTATTTCTCACATACCTTGCGATTCAGCATTGCCCACATAAGAGTATCCATCGTTCCTTTTGCAATAAGGAAGTGAATATTCACAGAACTGCACTGCCCAATTCGGTGTGCTCTGTCTTCTGCTTGCTTAATATGGCCTGGATCCCAATACAGTTCAGCAAACACAACGTGAGTAGCAGCAGTGAAAGTTAAACCCTAAACAAAGTAAGCAGATGCGCTTTAGAAAAAAGATTCCACACACAAACAACTGAATATCTGAAGTAAAAAACAGTTACAGGTTGCACAGGACACTTTTATACAGAAATAGAGGAGGGATATCAACAGCAGATGGGCCTAATTTCTTCCTTGAGCCTCAGATAGACTTAAGTAAGATCCAAAAAAAATGTCAATATTGTGCAGAGACTGCATACTGCTTTTCATTATGGAAGTAATGTTTATTTGCTATTAGTCTGCTACTTTCAGAGAAACTGAGTTTTTAGTAATAATTCAAGAATGAGATGCTGCTGCTTTTCTTGATTTTTCTCAAGTAATTTCAACAGAGGATTTAAACAGTTAACGTGGTTAGTGCAAAAAAAACCCCAACCAACTAAACCCCCCAAAAGCCCCCAAACCATGAACACGAGTCTACAAAAGACATATTGCATAAGGATAAGTTGCCTTCAGTCAATCACTGCAGTCACCAATGACTTTAGTACCTATATTCTTGAAGTTTTTCCTTATAGCTAAAGCCTACCTGACCAGCTGCCTGAATACTCAAAATAGCAACCCTGGTATCAGGATCTTTCTGAAACTGATTAACAAGATGTATTCTTTCTGCAGAAGGAACACTTCCATCTACTCGTATGTAGCGAACCTGTAACATAATCGAGACAAAATGACATTACCAGTTTCCATTTTTTTGGACCCAATCATGCTCTGTCCCCCAGTGAAAATATGAACACATATTTTGAAAACAAGCAGGGGAAATCCTGCTTGACTAATCTGGTATCCTTCTATGAAAGGGTGACCAAATGAGTAGATGAGAGAGCAGCAGATGTCTTAGTTTTAGCTAAAAACCAAACTTTTGTTTAGTGATTTTTACTTTCCAGTTCAGTCTCTTCTAAAAGGCTGCACAAAAAAAACCCAACAGCAAAAAAACTAGACAGAAACACACTGGTAAAAAAACTCGGGGAAACAACTGTCTACAACACTGATTCAATAATAATTCTCATACCAGATACAAGTGTTTACATTACCCTTAAATATAAAACAGTTCTTCAAAACCATGCAATCCCCTTTAATTCAGTAGCACTGACTTGTCTATACTTAAAAGTCCAGAAATTCCTGTACATGCAGGTAGTTCTACTGAGTGCAAACACAGCTTGTACGTAAAGTCTAAAGTTAAATTTGTGTGCATGTTTGTTAAATCATTACCTTTTTCTCTATAACTGCTTCTGTACAGGCTTGAAGCATGCTTAGGTGATGAGCAAAAACTAGAAACTTCAGTTTGTCATTTTCAAGCATCATTTTGATATAGTCCTTTACTGCTCCTGCCTAGCGTAAGAAAGTGCATTTTCATGAGTTAAGACATACAAAATGTTAAAAAAGACAGTTTTTGTTTTGACGTCTTTCAATTTCTTGTGATACAAAAAGATAAGTTTCCATAATTTGTTACACATATTTAAGACTTTATCAGACAGTAAAATTGTTAAGCATAAAATTATTAAAATTATTTTGTTTTTTAAAAAATATAACAAATTGTCATTGAGAAATCAATCATTCCTTAAGAGAAAAAAAAACAACAAAACCAAACAAAACCAGAAAAACATTTATCCTCAAAAGATCACATAATTACATGGCACTGCTTCCAGACTAAGATGTAGATAAAACCCCTTTTAGTTACAACTTCATTGATATTTTAAGCCATACTTTAAAAACCAAAACTGATTTCTGCCCAAACATAGTTCAAACAGACAAGGTATTGTTTAATCACAACTTCTTTATCTGCACCCACATAAAGCCATATATCAAAACTGAAAGAATAATTTTTATACTTTCATGATACCTTAATCACAAAATATTGCTCCATTTAAACATTCATAGTGTTTCACACAAAAGAATTGTATTTTCAATAGCTTTTACAAGAACTATTATTACTAACTGACATCATTACTTAAAAATTCATCAATGGTTAAAGCTGTACATGCTGCAGCGATCATCAGAGGACTTCCAAGTCTTTCCTCACGTCTTAAGCCACAGTGCTACAGGACGAAACACAGAACATGGGGCCCCATGAAGAAGGCAACAAAGCTGGTGAAAGGTCTCGAGAATAAGTCTTATGAGGAGCGGCTGAGGGAACTGGGATTGCTTAGTCTGAAGAAAAGGAGGCTGAGGGGAGACCTTATCACTCTAGAGAGGTGGGTGTTGGTGTCTTCTCACAAGTTACAACCAACCGAACAAGAGGAAATGGCTTCAAGTTGTGCCAGGTGAGGTTTAGGTTAGACATTAGGAAAAATGTCTACACTGAAGCGGTTATCAAAGACTGGAGCAGGCTGCCCAGGGAAGTGGCTGAATCACTGTCCTTGGATGTGTTTAAAAGCCGTCTGTGGTATCATATGGTGCTCAGGGATGTGGTTTAGAAGTGAGCTTGGCAGAGTTAGGTAGCGATTGGACTTGATAACCTCAAAGGTCTTTTCCAACCATGATGATTCTATGATTCTACGCTTTCATAAAACAGAAAGTGACCATCAAGAGGAGATTGCTTTTCCACATGTATCCATGGGGAGAGCCAGTGCTGACAGACCGCAGTCTCTGCAAGGGCTGCTCCAGCACCATCCTGAGTCAGCTGCAGCAGCTCCTCACCCACCTTCGGTATATCCCTAAGTCTCTGACACACGTTTAATGCTGCTGGGACAGTCTCAGCCAGCTGGGTGGATATCTAACCAGTAACAGTTTTAACATTTAGCTCAGGTCACTATAATAAGGTTCAGCCTATTCCATAAACATACAAGTAAAAAGAGAATGTTTCTTCATGTCGTGATTCTAAAAAAACACAAGCAACCTCACCTAGGAAATATAACTAAGTTAAAAGAACACTAGGTATTTTAAATATATTAAGAAAAGACTTCTGCGTTTACCTTGGCAATGGCTGTTTCTTTATACATGCGCGTAACGAGATTCATGACTTGAGAAAAGTGGTTTTCAGAGGCATCTGAATTCAGTTTTCTCATTAATTTCTCCCACTCCGCAAAAGTCGCATTCAAATTCTAATTGGCAGAAGAGATTGGTCGTTAGATACAGTGTAGACAGCTGTTCTACCTCAACATACACATGTCAAAGACGAAATGCTTAGGAATGGAGTACTTTTTGAGAACTCTATCAAATGTGGCTAAAAGTAACTGTAGCATACAAAATCCAAGGGAAAGGAAGACAGAAAGGAAGAAGTTAGTACTAAAAATAGAGAAAATTTTTATTATTATCTGATGCCAAAAAATTGCTATATTCGTGTTCCTCATGTTATATTTTAAAAGGAGGAACGGATGCTATGATATATATTCATGCATTCTTTGCAACTACATATAAAACACATGCATACATATAAATATGTATAAATACATAGACATCACTATTTACTAACAAATGTGTTTTTTCAGAACTGGAAAATTCACCTTAGCTGCAGCTTGTGGGAGGTCAAATGGAATACGCTGCCTAACTTTGGGAGGCAACTGAGTTAGAACATCATCCTTCAGTCTTCTGACCATTATTTCACTTAAAAGTTGATGTAGTTCTTCTAAATTTGAAGCTCCTCTACAGTCCCATTGAGTTCTTTTACCAAAAAATCTGAAAACAAAATATCAACACCAATAAGCATAAAAAATAGCGCCTCCAAATTCAAAAGAAACCTTCAATATACGGTTAATTTTAAAACACACTCTTAGATACGAAGGTCTGCTGAATAACAGCACTCGATGTTCCTGTTCATGCCAGAGATATGATTGCTTTCTGTCTGATTCCTTCCAAAGTTCAAGTCAAAGCTGTTTCAAATTCCCAGCAGATACTGCCACCCTGGCACCCATCGGATGCCTGCAGTCATCTGTATCACCCCAGTTTCCCTTTGCAGAAGTTTCAAGTATAATTCTTCTTGAGAATTCCCTCTTAATTATGGCCATATACAGATTTTAAAGCTTAAAGTACCATCTTTAAACGTAATACTATTCAATGAGCAAGGTTGAATAGAGGAAGTAGGTTTAACGTTAAAAAGCTTAAGGTTGAAAAGCAAAAGAATTCATTAACTTAGTCTTCCTTGTTCTTTCTTCGTTTTGTTGTTTCTAAGGAAGTGTTACAGTAGGAGCAGCAGCTTTTCTCTGTCAATATTGCCAAGAGACAACAAATAACGAGCATGATAGATTCTGCTGCCTTTGGAGAAAAGCCCAGGTAGCACTTTCCAAGGCCAGGACAGTATGTTGCAAATATGTAATTTTACTGGAGCTTTTTACATCTCTATTTAAAAAAAAAAACAACCCACATAATTTAGAAAATTTTAAGCCTTACTGAGCTTATCAACAGTGTCCTAGTTGGCTGCTTACAATCATTTGGGGAAAGGGCTGAGGGACTCACTTCTGTGCTGGTGAAGTATCAGCATAACACACTCAGAATGCCATGTAGATGGAAGACAGCAACATCTTTTGCCTATATCCCCTTCTTTGGTTTATTTGTAAGGTTGCCCTTGGAAAGGTTTCATCCCTCTTGCTTGAGCATTGGGAATATAAAAGAAATGGTAGGCAAAACCTTACAGAAATATGTTGGACCTTAACTTCATAAACAGTCATCTGTGAACACTTAAGTAAAAAACCCTCACATTTTCACAGAAAGTAATACATAAAATAATTGTATCAAGGTTATTATCATGGGATGTTTTGTTTCACCCAAGTTATGAAGACAAAGTTATTTACTGAAAGCTTGCCAAACCCTGAACTTGATTTTTATTACATTTATGGTATTCCAAAAATAAGATAATCATCCATGATTGAGTAGCTAACCATGCTGTACCCACGCACACTTGTGGTGTGAAAATTACAGATGCATTCAGTCAAAACACCACAGAAAAAATAGCATTTCTCTGTCTGAAAATTAGACAGTACTCTTCCATGTTATTTGAAGCTGATAAAATGCGTATGATGGAGGGAGAAAAACAAGTTATATGAAGATTAAATCATGTAATTATTACTGTAAAAATTAAATCTAAATGCTAACCAATTTAGCTGACATAATCTATTGTTTTGAATATATGCGAAGTGGTAGACATGACAATTTTTAGTTAAGAAAATGTTGTTAGGTTCTTCCCTTCTCGTAACATCTTTCATTCCAGATTGTAACAGATTCAGATGGGTAAAACAAAGCATTTTAAATCAGACCTTCTTATACCCCCTCTATTTTAGAATATAGCTAGAGAGACTGATCATTATAACTAAAGCTAAGGGAAGCAAGCCGAAGGGAAATGAATCCTCCTTAAGTTAATAACTTCAAGCACATGAAACATGAAAGCTCATGAAAGATGCAAGGAACAAAAATGAGTTAAAATTCATTATGCACATGTGTAGAAAAATGTGTAATGACCAATGTTACCTAGTAAATTGGAGGCAAGGTGGTGGACAAGAACTTACAATGCCTCTATTCAATGCCTCAAACAGAATTAGAAACACTAATGTGCTTTTGGGAGTTGTATACCTCTACTTTTACTCAGTCCATCTGCAAAATACAGAGACAGGTATTGGACGTTTTTTCCACCCAATTATGGTTAGATAGTAAAGGAATGGATCCTCACATAACAAGAGAGATGTCAATTATTACATCGTACAAGCATAAGACAGAGTCAGAAACTCCTAAGTCTGAGCTGTTACTGAAACTCCAGCTCTAAAGATGAAACCTACACACAACCTATCTAACACGTCATACTAACAACAGTAAATTAGTAAATTGCTTTACTTAATAGAATGCTGGCACTTTAACTTTACTTTAAACTTTAATAGCTTCCAGTTTTGTCCTCAAATAAAATCTCCTGTCAATTTAATCCTTTTCCCAGTCCTCTCTGATGGCAGAGATGGTATCTGACCGTGAGTTTCCAAGCAAGATACAGCAATAGAGGTACTACTCACTGATTCTCTCATTTCACATAACAAGAAGTTCAAAGACAACCACAGGAAAATAAATAAGCAATTATAGTAATACCTGACATGAGCATTGCAGTATTTTTTGGCATATTCACTCCAAGTTCCAAATCTTCTTGGAAACAGTGCCTCAATTTGCATGAAGAGCTGCATAAAAAAATCAATAGTGACATTTCAACTATTCAGAAATAATTATTACATGATTATTGTGTTAAGTTTACACGTAGAAGTTGTAAAAAAACTACACAGCTTGGCACATATGCAAAAACCATTCCATATGAGTATACATGTGTCTTGAGACAGGACAGTTGTGGGAGGCTCCCAAAGAACAGAGCACCCCGAACATCATAACACAGTGTTGATGACTTGGAAAAGACTTATACTGAACAAGAAAACATAGATGAAAAGATGTTATTCCTAAAAATATAATTTTTGACATTTCCCAGCTTGAGTGCAGGTATTTCATTAATAGCCTGCTTCTTAAAACCTACTCATTCTTTAATTTTACTACAAAAAATGGACAATGTCAATATGGACAAGAAATTTCATACCTTTTATTCCTGGTTGAATAACAGGAGGTAAATACCACTTTAGATAACCTTAGTCAGAAAGAAACCTACTTTACAAGCTGTTTTGCAGCTTTCTGGATTCAAAGATCACTACTAAATCAAGGAGAGCAGGCGTAGCATAGAGACAAAGAGTAATGTAAAATGGTCTCACTTAAATACATTTCCCTGCTATCCTCTGCTGTACATAATTTCTGCCATTTAAGTTTCATATTACCTAATCCCATGCTAGTGACCTCTCAAAAATCATCACAGCCTAACTGACTTTTCACGGGCTTCATTCAAGACAGAAGTTAGAAGTATTAAGAAAAAAAATGAATCAAAACCCAATTCATCCACTCAAGTGAAATGCTTCTATTTTGACACAGATCTAGGCCAAACAAGAAACTGCCTGTAATTATTTGCAATAAATGTACATAAATTAATAATGGTTTTCATTTTCTATACATATTCAATTTAACTTCAAATATATATGAATATATATATGCAAATAACTTCACAGAAAGATTCTGCTTATGACACAAAACTGATTAAAGAGAAGTAATGCTTTTACACTCTGCCTTATAAGCTGTAGCAGAACTTTGGTATCACTATAAAAACATCTCAGGTCGATCATGAATTTTGTCCCCATTACTGTGATCAAGGACAGCTTGTATGGAATATCCTTTGAAGACCTTTAGTAACGTTGCTTACTGGTCTTGGTATCAATGAAACATTCTAAAAGTATAACACTTTCTACTTTCAGTTCTTCTTCCAGGGCTGGGTGCAATGTCTTTGGTACATGTGCGGGAAGTTGCATAATTATCCACACCCATAGATATAACTATTTGTTTTAAAGTTCTAAGTAATCACTCACAATACACCAAGGCTTTTTTCATACAGCCAGTATTTTCTTCAAGTTAGAACATCTCTGAACAAATTAATTTATTAAAGGGTCTGTTTACATAGCAAGAAATTCTAAAGTGCAACGAATTATTTATGTAACCCTTACAACATCACTGGACATAAATCAGTTCTGATATTCCATTTATTTCTATATTTGATAAAGAAACACAGTTCTCTTGGGTTCAGCATAAAACCCAAGAGGTTTTTAGTATCTTTTCTGCTCCTCCCCAATTCCATAGGTTGAACTTCCTTCAAAGGAAAATTTGTCTTTCTGGACTGCAACAAGTACAGGATATACTTCTTCCACTTAGGCAATACAAGCAAACATTAGGATTATTCAAAATATCAGCAATAAAAAAAGAATTTTCTGTATCAGATGATGAATTATAAAATTTAATTCAAGTTCTTGTTTACCAGGGACTCTCCTACCCAGTAGAAACAAATGGTTCTCCACTTTGGCTCTTTATTTTCAATTTCACCCAATAGCTGGGTCTGCTACATGTGAGATTAATTTCTTATAAGAGACACTGTCTCAAGTCACCTGTGCAAGAGCTTGAAACAAGTTTGTACAACGTCAATACGATCAACTCAAACTAAAAGACATTATTTTAGTTTCTAATAGTTGCGCTTCCTAATGCAGCTAGTGCTCTTTTTGATATCATAATACATGTAAATACATATATATATATTTTTTTTCAAGATAACTACCAAATTGTTCATTTATTACTCATACCATCCTTAAAAAAACCCCACAAACCAGAACAAAACACAATACGTCAAATACCTCTTCAGGTCTTCCTAGGGCAGGAGTTCCAGTAAGGAGAATAGCTCTAAGAGCCTTCTGCACAATTGGCAATAAAATCTTGCTGCGGGTGGCATTTCTGGACTTCATGTAGTGTGATTCATCAACAACAACTACCTTAAAGCTCTGCCTGTTCAAAGTGTCTACTAAAGCCTGTGCATCAGAAGTTAACAGGCCATATCCCAGAATTGTTACTTTGCTGGTTGATATTCTCCTAAAAGAGAAAATCCAGAAGTTTGCTTAGTATATATTCATTGCAGGAAAATTAAATAGCAAAGGAATTACACCAAACTATTTTTTTAAGAAGGTATGTATGACAACTTTTTGATTGATTAATTAGTGGGCTGTCAGTCTTATAACAACAGCTTTTGGTGGTCAAAACATTCTAGCATCTTCTACTTAGAAAACACAGACATTTCATAACCATTTTCAAAAGATACATATTGCATTTAAAAGGAAGTTAATTTATCCAGTTGCATTACTTCAACTCGTGCTCCCTTCCAGGAGTACTGTGTGGGACAAATCCACTCTCTGGATAAAAAGTTACATGCACAGGTCAGAGCATTATGGGCACACTGTGTGAAGAGCACTCAAACCACCTGAAGTGCTAACGTCTCTCTGCAAGCCATCTATTGCTCTGTATACAAAGAGTCACCTTACCAGCAGCCTGAGACGACTAACCAGACTGTCTCTGAGTATTTGGGTACTGCAAAAGTACACTCTGGGCTGAATCTCATTACCTAAAGAAAACATTTGTATCAGAACTGCCTATCCAGATTTTTTGCTCAAACAGAGTATGAAGAAAACAAAAAACTGGAAGCAGGGAATCGATGAGCCACAAGATGCAAAACTGGTATTCAGCTGGAAAAGAACTTCCTACACCAAATTTGAAGACATATGTAGGCTCAATGCGTGAATTGAATTTAAAATCACTAGAGAGCACTGTGGCCCTTTGGGAGCCTTTGGACAGCACAGGAACTCTTTTAACAACCAAGTCACCAGAATGAGGGCTATAGCTGGTAACCCATCTGTCAGATAGGATCACTCTGCTGGCATGATTTTTATTTTCTCTCCAATAGCAATAGATCAAAAAAAACCCAACAAAAACTAAGTTGAAACTTCCTCAAGAATTTAAGAGGAAGAAA